ACATTCAGTTTTCTTTTAAATCCAAGAATCTTGTTACATGAAGTCAAAACATTTTCTCCAGTGCCTTGCAGATACTGGTTCATGTGATGAAAGATGTTCTGCTAAGTATGCTAGTTTATGCAACCATTCTCCATCTTCAAAACATTCAGCAAAATGTGCTCTTTGTCCAGATTTTCAGTTTTTTAAACATTCTTGAGTGATCTGGTCTTTGTTTAATAAAGTTAACCATTTTTGTAGCATCATCCAGAACCTTTTTCATTTCATCTCCAAGAGTTTTTGACAACAACACCTCTCTGTGAACAAAGCAGTGTGTTGTGACAATGTCAGGATTTTCTTTTCTTACAAGAGAAACAAAACCTCTAATGGAGCCAACCATTGATGGAGCACCAGCAGTACAGATGCCAACACGGTTCCTCCAAGACAGATTTTTTGTTTCCAGATATGAAGACAACATTAAATACATCTTGGCCTTTGCGTGCGTCATGTAGTTCTTTGCAACAGAAAAAGTTTTCTTGAATTTCATCATCATTTACAAATCTTACAAATGCCATAACATGACATTTATTGGTGAAATCTGTTGACTCATCAACTTGGACAGAAAAGTTGCTGTTCTACAAAACCTCTTCTGCATCATGCGACATGTCATCGATACACCAACTTATTGTACTGTTTGACAGTGGAACCTTTTCAATTTTTTGTACTGCATCTGGTCCTAGCATTTTTCCCACTATTATTTTATATGCTGGCATGATTACTTTCTCACCCAAAGCACGACTTTTACTTTGCTGTGTAAGTTCCAGTAATAAATAACTTGCTTCTTGGGTTTTTTTACTGACTTTCATTTTATTAACAAAAGCAGAAATGTCTGTTCTGTGATTCCAGTAGCCATTTAAAATAATCAGAACTTTTACTTGTATGGCTGTGATTTGTAGTTAAGTGTCTTTTTAATTTTGCTGGAGCCATTGCTGCATTTGTAAGTTGTTTGCCACAGAAGAGGCACAACAGAATAGGACAGCTTAGATCACCAGTCCATGTAAAATCCATTGATAAATGGCTTTCATTGTAAAGATGGACTTTTTTTTGAGTCCATTGATGTACCAGTGCAGGGAAATGCCTGAGAAGATTTACATTCTTCATTATCATCATTAACTTATCGATGTTGTCTGTTCTAGAATCATCCTCTTCTCTCTCATACCTCCTCTTCAAAAATCATTGAACCCTCCGATGTGACTGAATAAACATGTACGAAATTTATTTAAAATAATGGAATAAAATAACTACAGGAAAACCACAGGGAAAAGATGCAGGAGTGGGAGACTGATGTCACAGACTAAGTTCGACGAGTCCATTAATTTCTTGAAAAATGCACTTCTCCCTCCCCTTCCTGCAATATATTCCTCCCTTCCTGCAACATATTTCTCCCTTCCTGCAATATAGCATTCATCTGTTATCAGTGGTCTCCCCTATCTTGTGTCAGAAATTAAGAATGGATTCAATGAAACAAACGTAGTCCTACAACGCACTACCAGAGAGCTCAGAAAGAGTTGTAACTAGATTTTTGTTCGGTCTCTGCTCATCA